CTTGGTGTTGAGCTTAGAGGGGACTATGGTGTTGAATGCTGAGCTGTAGTCAATGAACAGCATTCTTACATAGGTATTCCTTTTGTCCAGGTAGGAGAGGGCAGTGTGGAGTGCAATAGAGATTGTGTCATCTGTGGCTCTGTTGGGGTGGTATGCAAATTGCAGTGGGTCTGGGATGATGGTGTTGATGTGAGCCATGACCAGCCTTTCAAAGCATTTCATGGCTACAAAGTCAAACACCTACAATTCCCAATTTTTTTTTAGCAATTTGCTAGTCTGTTGCTATTCAAATCAAAATTATTTTGGGGAGTTAAACAAACAAAAGTTTGTAAGTCAGGAGTTTTCATAACGAAAGGAGGGAACCAGATAGAACAAAAGAAAGAGAAAAGAAAGAGAGAGAAACAATAATAGCTAGATCAAGAGAGAGCTCTCTCAGAAGAGCTGCCAGAGAGAGACACGTCACCCGTTCCATTCCACCTTCCAGGTGACAGCCCCGCCGTGCAGCACTCGCGGCTCCGCTCGCTCGTGATCATGCTCACCCTTCCTAATAAAGCTACGCCGCCCCGCACATGAAAACATGGCGAGCTAGTTAAATTCAAAACAGAGGAGAGGGAGAGGAGCAAGGAATACAAACTAAGGAGTAAAGAGAGAGACGGAGAGAGGAGAGAGAAGGGTAACAATTTGGTTTGAAAGAATTGTAGAGCACAAAGCTAACATCTATGGGAGACAGTGGGTAAAAGACCTGGCACTGCTCCACCCTCGCTCCTCTTCTCTCCTCGCCACCTTCCCTCCTCTCCACCATGTTGACAGTCAAACTACAAAACAACCTCTGAAGTGTGCACTGCGGAGGGGGCGCCGCGTATTCCAGAGAGTGTTTCGTTTAGCAGTGTCAGGTGGCGGCGTCCCGGGATCCGGTGTTCCGCACGGATCGCTCTCTTTCTCACTGTCGCCCTGCCGTTAAGTGAGAGGATTCCGGTTTGAAGGCGCCTGGGCGGGCAGGTAGCGGAGCAGGAAAAGGCAAATATAAACAAGTCAATGAGAGGAGACAGAGAGACAGCGTTTTAATGATACTACACTATGATGTTTCTACAGGGGTAGAAAAGTAGCTGCAGGCTTCATCTTTTGTGATGCCTATAACCTAGCATTATGGGTATTAAACGGTGCCAAAAAACAACAGCTAGCGCACCGGCACCCACAGACAGGGGATTCAGCAGCACTCAGGTATACTTTTCACAGAGAAGAAGCATGTCAAGGTGAAAGCAAGGCAAACAGACAAAAAAACACACAGAGGAAAGTTTTCCCAGCAAGTTTGTAGGCTGCTGAGTGGAGACTAATTGCTTGCTCAAAGTGAAAAGTTTAAATGTGTCCCAGAGATGACGAGGGAGGGGCAGAGCAGAGTGGAAGATGTGATGGATGGTGTCTGGCACCTAGTCTCAGCCCTTTAGCCCTGTTCAGCCCTCTACGCCCTGCCTTTGACCTCCTGACCTCTGAAGTCCTCAACCTGCAGCCAATCAGAGCCATAATCCTCAACATCAAGGGTGTCTAAAAAAAAAAACAAGTTCCCAGTGTGCATTTGGAGTTCATTGACGAGTCGTGTCTATTTCTGTGGAGGGGTTTAAACCTGCTACTTTACGCCGGCTATAAAGGAGCACTTGCTATGCTAATTGCTATCGTCCTACTTATGCAGTCCACAGCTCACATGGCTAATGGTGTCATAAAGCATGCTGGTACACGGAGCTGTCCCAGACACCAGGTTGGGAATACTTAGGTTGATTATGGCTGTTGGCCTCGTTTAGGGCACATGAAGGATTCCCCTAGACCGTAAAGGTAGCTTACTCTGCCGTAAAATTACAACCAGCCATCCAGAGGGGAAAGTATACAAGGCAGCCATTAAGGTTACAGCCTATGAAGAACATCAAGGAAAACGGAGCAGCTGTAAACGTGAACTGGGTAGTAAGTAAAGGTTTTACACCAAGGTTTATCTGTGGGTTTCAACCAATTCACTCCCTTTGTGCTAGTCTTTAAAGAGGGTTGCCAGTGCTGTTAGAGGCACAGTGTCTGTGAGCTAAAGAGCACATTTTATTAAGCCCATGTAGCTTTAGTGAAAGTGCACTGTTAAGTGTTCACTAGGGCTGAGGGAGTGGCAGCCATCCGGCCACAGTCACCCACTCCCCAGCACTTCAGGTGGCCACCATGATGATTGATCCACTGTTCTCAAAATACACACAAAATCTTTGTCTCTGTAAATATACAAATACCAGGAAACCAATGTCACGATCGTTGAGAGACGGGTCAGACCAAGTTGCAGCGTGGTATGCGAACATGTTTGACTCAATAAACATACAACAAAACAAACAACGTAACGTGAAGTCCTCCGGCTATACACATACACGCCAACACGGAACAAGATCCCACAAACATAGTAGGCAACTGGGCTACCAAAGTATGATCCCCAATCAGAGACAACGAGCGACAGCTGCCTCTGATTGGGAACCATACCTGGCCAAGCATAGAAATATAAATCCTAGATCGTAAACATAGAAATAATAACATAGAACTTCCACACCCTGACTCAACTAACAAGAGTTCTATACGTCAGGGCGTGACAACCAAATAAATGTTAGAAGCTATACAACAATAAACCCATATACATCTTGGTGTACTTTAACTACTTGCACATTGTTACAACACTGTATATATACATAATATGACATTTATTCTTTTGAAACTTCTGAGTGTAATGTTTACTGTTAATATTTATTGTTTATTTAACTTTTGTTTACTATCTACTTCACTTGCTTTGGCAATGAATTGAAAGAAAGAGAGAGAGAGAGAGAGAGAGAGAGAGAGAGAGAGAGAGAGAGAGAGAGAGAGAGAGAGAGAGAGAGAGAGAGAGAGAGAGAGAGAGAGAGAGAGAGAGAGAGAGAGAGAGAGAGAGAGAGAGAGAGAGAGAGAACAAAAGTTATTCCACAGAATAGACACAGAACAGCCCTGTGCATGCTGGCCTGTGGGCTAGCCTGTCTGCCCTTCGTATATAAAGTCATTAGAAAGCCATCAGTCCTGGCTGCTCCAAAGTACCTCCAAACGATGTGGAGCGCTGAGCTGGGCCTGGCCCGGCCTCAGAGAGGGCCACCAGAGGGAAAGCGCGGGAGGTGTGGAGGGCCACACTGGGGCCCTGAAATAGCACTTCATTTGTCATCCGCAAAGCTGGCCGGCTGGACACAGGCCGGGGAGGGAACGCTCCATTTAGGCCTGGTTGGCCCTGAAGCCTCCCCAGACCTGGCCCCTGCTGCCCCCTTTGACCCAGAAACACAGGCAATGAGGTGAACCAACCACCGGATGCAGTGCAGGGGAGAGAGCAGAGCGACGGAGCTCTTAGCGTTCCACCTCTGGAGCAAAGCAGTAACAAGAGCTCCAGGGTCTGTGGGCTGGGGAATGTGTGTGTGTGTGTGCGCGCATCCGTGGGCTGTCCCGACCAGCCGCCCCTCATTAAGGTGCTCGTAAAGCCCTCCTACCTGCCGACCCCTCCGACTCCAGGTGTGCAAGGTGGCTGGACCTCAGCAGAGGTCCACCTTGGCCTCATTTGGGTCGGGGCTACCTGCTGCTACAACGGCCATGGAAGACTGTAAAACCTCACGGGGGCGGGCTGGGGACCGAGGATTACGACCCTGTAAAGATCAAAGGGGTGGCGGCCAACAGGCGATCAAAGGGGAGTGTGTTGGCGCTAATGTGGCAGGGGATTGGCTCAAGTGTGTGTCTGTGCTGCTCTGCTTCCAGCAGCACAGCCTGAGCACTTTCACAAGCTGCCGTTTAATTGCAGTTAAACAGCAGCAGCACCTTGGCTGGGCGCGTTAGAGCGTTTGAGCTAAGAGTTTATCAAACCCCACCATCCAACTCAGCGGCCGCAGCGTTAATCTGATCTCACGGTTAATGTAGAACTAAAGCGCGTGAGGGTGGTTAACTGTTGGTTTAACTCTATAATGACTCAGTCACAACAGCATCTCTACTGGATGGATTCAATCAGCCAGCCCATAAAGGCCTTCACTCACGATCCTTATTCATTCTGTGGATTCAGGAAGTATTGAGCAGGAAAACACTTCATAATGGTTGGAATATGGTCATATATGGTTTGCTAATATGTATTAGGAATAAGGCTGTCGATATTAATCACTGTGAAAATCACCAATAGAAAGCGAAATCAGTGAATGCATAGGTATGGAGAGAGGAGAAAGTGTGAGAGAGAGAGGGGGAGAGAGGGGGAGAAGGGGAGAGAGGGAGGGAGGGAGGGAGGGAAGGAGGGAGGGAGAGAGGGATGAAATCACACCTACCACTTGTACATCTGAGGGGACTCTGGACAGGAAGTCCAAGAGCTCGTTGTTGTCAATGGTGTACGGGTCACGGAGCTTCTTGGTGAATTTATTCACCCCTGCAGGGAGCGGGGGAAAGAGGGAGGAGAGCTGTTCAGCGCATGGGTCACAAGAGTCGTCCCGTACTTTTCCTCTCTCTCCCTTCCTCTCCTCCTCTCTCTCTCTCTCTCTCTCATTTCATCTATCTCTCTCTCGCTCTCTCTCTCTCATCTCTCTCTCTCTCTCTCTCTCTCTCTCTCTCTCTTCCTCTCTTTCTCTCACATTCTCCCTCTCGCTTTCTCTCCCTCTCTTTTTCTCTCTCTGTATCATCACAGCCCTCTTTCAGCCCTTCATGGTAACTCAATGTGTTTCAAAGCAGAGTGCAGACACCATTAGAGACCAGAGCTCCCCTCTCCACCCCTCAAGAGATCCTTCCGCTCAGCTCTGTCTGAAATACACTTGTCTGAAATACAACTGAGTTGGGTCCCTGAGCAACTGTGGCATGGAAGTAGACACCAAACCACATGAAAGGGTTAGTATACTGCAGAAAGGGAGATATAATGATGATCTATCCCCAATCTAGCCCATCATAATGGATACATTACATAAAAGGTACTACACCGCTCTATTGTTGTCTCATAAACGCAGTAGTCATTAGTGTGGAGCTTCTTTTAGGCACTCACCCCAGGCCAGGACGATGTAACGTAGGGGGATATAGTAGATGAGAACAGTGGCCACACATAGTGCCACGATGGCCAGCCAGCTTAGGAAAGGCACTGTCCAGTTAAAGGTGCTGTACAGAGAGTAGGGGAGATCTGTATTAGAACATTATAACACCTTGATACACCTATGCGTAGGCAGCATGCATCCTTTAGTTCTCCAACTTTACCCTCCAAGTGAAACTGACTAGGGAGTTTCACTAACTTTACTGCCTGTTCTTGGCCCTGTGTGTGCATTTAAAAGCATAAAAAGCAACAACATTTTAGTCATTTAGCAGACACTCTTATCCAGAGCGACTTACAGTTATTGCATACATCTTAAGATAGCTAGGTGAGACAACCACATATACTCAGTCATAGTAAGTATAGGATTACCCAATAAAGTAGCTATCAACAAAGTCAGTACTAGTAGGAAAAGTCCAGTGCAAGTCTTAGTTCAAGAAAGGCAAGGGTGTTAGTTTAATTAATGTAGCAGAAGCTAAAGTGTGTGTTTTTGTGTATGTACAGTGAGGGAAAAAAAGTATTTGATCCCCTGCTGATTTTGTACGTTTGCCCTCTGACAAAGAAATTATCAGTCTATAATTTTAATGGTAGGTTTATTTGAACAGTGAGAGACAGAATAACAACAAAAAAATCCAGAAAAACACGTCAAAAATGTTATAAATGTATTTGCATTTTAATGAGGGAAAAAAGTATTTGACCCCTTCTCAATCAGAAAGATTTCTGGCTCCCAGGTGTCTTTTATACAGGTAACGAGCTGAGATTAGGAGCACACTCTTAAAGGGAGTGCTCCTAATCTCAGCTTGTTACCTGTATAAATGACACCTGTCCACAGAAGCAATCAATCAATCAGATTCCAAACTCTCCACCATGGCCAAGACCAAAGAGCTCTCCAAGCATGTCAGGGACAAGATTGTAGACCTACACAAGGCTGGAATGGGCTACAAGACCATCGCCAAGCAGCTTGGTGAGAAGGTGACAACAGTTGGTGCGATTATTCGCAAATGGAAACACAAAAGAACTGTCAATCTCCCTCGGCCTGGGGCTCCATGTACGATCTCACCTTGTGGAGTTGCAATGATCATGAGAACGGTGAGGAATCAGCCCAGAACTACACGGGAGGATCTTGTCAATGATATCAAGGCAGCTGGGACCATAGTCACCAAGAAAACAATTGGTAACACACTATGCCGTGAAGGACTGAAATCCTGCAGCACCCGCAAGTTCCCCCTGCTCAAGAAAGCACATATACAGGCCCGTCTGAAGTTTGCCAATGAACATCTAAATGATTCAGAGGAGAACTGGGTGAAAGTGTTGTGGTCAGATGAAACCAAAATCGAGCTCTTTGGCATCAACTCAACTCGCCATGTTTGGAGGAGGAGGAATGCTGCCTATGACCACAAGAACACCATCCCAACCGTCAAACATGGAGGTGGAAACATTATGCTTTGGGGGTGTTTTTCTGCTAAGGGGACAGGACAACTTCACCGCATCAAAGGGACGATGGACGGGGCCATGTACCGTCAAATCTTGGGTGAGAACCTCCTTCCCTCAGCCAGGGCATTGAAAATTGGTCGTGGATGGGTATTCCAGCATGACAATGACCCAAAACACACTGCCAAGGCAACAAAGGAGTGGCACAAGAAGAAGCACATTAAGGTCCTGGAGTGGCCTAGCCAGTCTCCAGACCTTAATCCCATAGAAAATCTGTGGAGGGAGCTGAAGGTTCGAGTTGCCAAACGTCAGCCTCGAAACCTTAATGACTTGGAGAAGATCTGCAAAGAGGAGTGGAACAAAATCCCTGGTCAAACCTGGTGGCCAACTACAAGAAACGACTGACCTCTGTGATTGCCAACAAGGGTTTTGCCACCAAGTACTAAGTCATGTTTTGCAGAGGGGTCAAATACTTATTTCCCTCATTAAAATGCTAATCAATTCATAACATTTCTGACATGCGTTTTTCTGGATTTTTTTGTTGTTATTCTGTCTCACTGTTCAAATAAACCTACCATTAAAATGATAGACTGATCCTTTCTTTGTCAGTGGGCAAACGTACAAAATCAGCAGGGGATCAAAAACTTTTTTCCCTCACTGTATGTATGTGTGTGCGTGGTGTGTGAGTGTGTTTTCCAGCCAGCTCGACGGGGTTGAACAAGATGTGACAGGGACAGGCGGGCAGGTGGTGAGGGCGCTGGCACCGGGAAGCATTGGAGTGGCGGGCCAGGCGCCGAGGAGGAAGCTTACGACTCACTTCTTTATCCTCTCGCCATAGGAGGCCACTTCATCCAGCGCATTTTGCACACTGATGCACACGTCTTGGATGGCATACAGCTTGTTGATGAAGCTCTTTCTCTCTGGGTCCTGGAGGACAGTTAGATAGAGAAGGAAAAAGAGAAGGAGAGAGAGAGCGAGAGAGGGGGAGAAAGAGAGAGAGGAGAAAGAGAGAGCGAGAGAGAGAGAGAGAGCGAGAGATGAGAAAGAGAGAGGGGAGAAAGATAGAGAGAGAGAGGGGGGAGAAAGAGAGAGGAGGGAGAAAGAGAGAGAGAGAGAGAGAGAGAGAGAGGAGAGAGAGAGAGAGAGAGAGACATGGGCTGGGCACATGCATCTTTCAACAAAGAAAACATTTAAAGAGCGTCAAAGACTTGAAAAGGGGAGCCAAATTACGAGATATCCTCCTTCAGTTGACTGACTACTCTCCAAGCTTTAATAGAGACAAATCGTAATATTTGCCCTCTTACAGCGAGCACACGGTGACATGGCAATATGTGATTAGGGTGAATTTAGCTGAATGCCAAATGGATCCTTCAATCTTTCTACTGCCAAGACAGGCACGCTTTGTTGTTGGCAGCACACTATGATGTCACCAGAAGTGACATCATTTTCATCGTCAGCACCATGACGAGCTCCTCCTTTTCAACTTTTGATGGTTGAGAACATCAGGAGGACATAAGACCAGAGAGTGACACGGCGGGCCAATCTAAAAGCCTCTACTATTAGACACAAAGTACAAAAGAGGAAGTCATGCAACAGTCAATGAGCTGCTGTGGGACAGGATGTGGTGACTGACTGACTGACAGAACGGAGTGGGACAGGATGTGGTGACTGACTGACTGACAGAATGGAGTGGGACAGGATGTGATGAGTGACTGACTGATAGAACGGAGTGGTACAGGATGTGGTAACTGACTGACTGACTGACTGACTGAGAGTGGGTGAGTTAGGACAGAGACAGACATTTGTGGTGGTGGTGGTGTGGACATGATTGGAGGAGACGGGTCGCAGACCAGGGCTCTCTGTCTCGGTCTCTACTACAGACAAAGATAGGAAAAGAGCATAGCACTGATCAAGCATTACACCACTACAGTAACCTGTGACCTGTCATGGAGTCCACCTGTAGTTTGTAAGGACTGTCATCTACGGTCAGGAAAGACCAGATTCCCCAAACCGTGCAATAGCTGAGGGAGCTGAGAGAAGAAGCAAGGGAAAGGTCTTAGAAAAGCAGGGACGCACTTTTACGGTGAAAATGAACCGAATATTTATATAGTATTATAGTATGTAATTCAATGCTGATTGTCAACCAGGTTTACCCAAAAACTACTTCTCTTCAAAATCACTTTCCACTTCATGGCAGATTTGACTGTTATGGATGCCCACCTGTGTGTGAGAATTCTACAGGTACATGCTGTACACATGGCGTTCAATATCGAAAGAGAACAGTCACATCATAGAAACAACAAGGGGCTAATTCATCATTGACGAGAATGTGGACCAGGAAAAGACACTAAACTGTTTATAACCTCCAGGCCCCTAACCCTCCCCAGAGACCCCCATCGCACCCTCTGTACTCCTCTTCCTGCCCTTCCTGCAGGATCAGGTACTTGATAAATGAACCCCGATGCAGCCAGGGAAACTACAAGGCCTCACTGAAAAACCACACAAGACACGTAGATATAATTAGACTGGGTTATTTTTTTTAAAACAAATATTTTACAAGCCTCCTTTCTTCCCAATCTGTTTTGTATTACTGGTTCCAACAAAGCCCGATGTCCAGGGTTCACTGTGTTGGGTTGGGTTGTGTTGTGTTGGGTTGGGCTTAGTGTTCTGGGCCTGAGGAGTGTTCTCGGAGCTCCGGGGAGAGTGTTTGAGGGACAGGGGAGCGGTGTGAGAGAGCGAGTGGTGGCGGAGAGGAAGGGATAGAGGTCATCAGAGTATAAACCATTGCCACATGCCCCTCGAACCATGGGCTGACTCCAATTTCCTGCCTTCAAACGTAGGGCTGAGAGGAAAAACAAAAACACGGAGCCAGGGAGAGGCTTGTTTCCTGCTCACCAGCACTCCCCAGCACTCCCCAGCACTCCCCAGCACTCCCCAGCACTACCTAGCACTCCCCAGCACTCCCCAGCACTACCTAGCACTCCCCAGCACTCCCCAGCACTCCCCAGCACTCCCCAGCACTCCCCAGCACTACCTAGCACTCCCCAGCACTCCCCAGCACTCCCCAGCACTCCCCAGCACTCCCCAGCACTCCCTAGCACTCCCCAGCACTCCGCTGCACTCCCCAGCACTCCGCTGCACTCCGCTGCACTCCCCAGCACTCACATACTAAAGCAACCTGCTCTTAGACTGGGATGGAATCAACCAGCACACCACATGGCCTTAGATCATCTTGATACAAACAGCTGGATCTGCTTTGGCCCAGTAAAAATACTTACAATTACCTTACAATGCCCTTTGTTATATTATGCTAACTTTACCCTGCTTTTCTTTGCCTGTTCTGTTTGTAACCTTGACATCATTTGCAAAAAAAAATGTTTGGGGGGTAGATCAGCTTTAATATTGCAGCTAGATTGTGGCTTCTATAATATAATTGTCTGCATCATTTCCAATCATCCATTTATATATTTTTTGCATCACGACCTTGTCATACACTATAATGTCATCATTGAGGAGAGCGTTGATATACAGTACCCTGTATGGGATGACAGCACCAATCACAGATCACTGTCAAGGTCAAAAGTTGCTTGCCTTCAAAAGCGGGTGTAAAAAAGGAGAAAAAACAGATTCATGTCGGTTTCCCAGATAAGGATTTGACTTTGACGTTTAGTGTTTGCAACCTTCACAATTTGAAACCTGCTTTCATGTTTGTATGTAAATGATACAGCTCCAGAAAATCGTATAGCATCAGCTATATCGCACATGCTGAAGTTCAAAAAGTCAATAGAATTGGTGGCCTATGTCCTATTAATTATAGGTGTTGTACAAGTATGTGCCTTGATGAGGCTATACCATTGCTAACCCTACTTAGCAGTTGTGGAGTGGGTAACAGGTGTGCTATCTGGGTGCTCTGCCATATATGACAATGACAAGTTGAGGAACATTGGGAAATGGCGGTACTCTAATACGTTTCTTCTTTTTTTTTACAAAAAGACGTCACCTCATTTCACCTTTTTATTTTCGGCCTGCAGGCTAATGCGTTTAGGCAGTTACAGTGAGGGAAAAAAGTATTTGATCCCCTGCTGATTTTGTATGTTTGCCCACTGACAAAGAAATGATCAGTCTATCATTTTAATGGTAGGTTTATTTGAACAGTGAGAGACAGAATAACAACAAAAACATCCAGAAAAACGCATGTAAAAAATGTTATAAATTGATTTGCATTTTAATGAGGGAAATAAGTATTTGACCCCCTCTCAATCAGAAAGATTTCTGGCTCCCAGGTGTCTTTTATACAGGTAATGAGCTGAGATTAGAAGCACACTCTTAAAGGGAGTGCTCCTAATCTCAACTTGTTACCTGTATAAAAGACACCTGTCCACAGAAGCAATCAATCAATCAGATTCCAAACTCGCCACCATGGCCAAGACCAAAGAGCTCTCCAAGGATGTCAGGGACAAGATTGTAGACCTACACAAGGCTGGAATGGGCTACAAGACCATCGCCAAGCAGCTTGGTGAGAAGGTGACAACAGTTAGTGCGATTATTCGCAAATGGAAGAAACAAAATAACTGTCAATCTCCCTCTGCCTGGGGCTCCATGCAAGATCTCACCTCGTGGAGTTGCAATGATCATGAGAACGGTGAGGAATAAGCCCAGAACTACACGGGAGGATCTTGTCAATGATCTCAAGGCAGCTGGGACCATAGTCACCAAGAAAACAATTGGTAACACACTACGCCGTGAAGGACTGAAATCCTGTAGCGCCCGCAAGGTCCCCCTGCTCAAGAAAGCACATATACAGGGCCGTCTGAAGTTTGCCAATGAACATCTGAATGATTCAGATGAGAACTGGGTGAAAGTGTTGTGGTCAGATGAGACCAAAATGGAGCTCTTTGGCAACAACTCAACTCGCCATGTTTGGAGGAGGAGGATTGCTGCCTATGACCCCAAGAACATCATCCCCACCGTCAAACATGGAGGTGGAAACATTATGCTTTGGGGGTGTTTTATGCTAAGAGGACAGGACAACTCCACTGCATCAAAGGGACGATGGACGGGGCCATGTACCATCAAATCTTGAGTGAGAACCTCCTTCCCTCAGCCAGGGCATTGAAAATGGGTCGTGGATGGGTATTCCAGCATGACAATGACCCAAAACACACAGCCAAGGCAACAGAGGAGTGGCTCAAGAAGAAGCCCATTAAGGTCCTGGAGTGGCCTAGCCAGTCTCCAGACCTTAATCCCATAGAAAATCTGTGGATGGAGCTAAAGGTTCGAGTTGCCAAACGTCAGCCTCGAAACCTTAATGACTTGGAGAAGATCTGCAAAGAGGAGTGGGACAAAATCCCTCCTGAGATGTGTGCAAACCTGGTGGCCAACTACAAACGTCTGACCTCTGTGATTGCCAACAAGGGTTTTGCCACCAAGTACTAAGTAATGTTTTGCAGAGGGGTCAAATACTTATTTCCCTCATTAAAATGCAAATCAATTTATAACATTTTTTACATGCGTTTTTCTGGATTTCTTTGTTGTTATTCTGTCTCTCACTGTTCAAATAAACCTACCATTAAAATTATAGACTGATCATTTCTTTGTCAGTGGGCAAACGTACAAAATCAGCAGGGGATCAAATACTTTTTTCCCTCACTGTATGCCTTCATCAGAGCATCTACTTAGCAGTTATAGGCTAGTCACACTTGTCCTGTGGTTTCCATGGCCTGCTCAGCAGTGAAAAGCAAGTGTAGGCAGATCCCTAAAGCTGGGTCCTGGTCTCACATACTAGGCCTATTTACACCTAACTGGGAGAGGGAGAGGGAGAGGGAGAGGGAGAGGGAGAGGGAGAGGGAGAGGGAGAGGGAGAGGGAGAGGGAGACGGAGAGGGAGAGGGAGACGGAGAGAAAGGGAAACTTTTAAGACTGCAATACTAGACCCAATGGTAACCAAATGACACCCAAACCAACTATGTGTGTACCATATTAATCAAATTAAACTTATCCAGACATGCCCTGCATAAATGGGGAAAAAGGGGAAAGAGAGCCCGATGAAACAATTTGCTGCATACCGATATGGTACAGTTGAAGTTGGAAGTTTACATACACTTAGGTTGGAGTCAATAAAACTTGTTTTTCAACCACTCCACAAATTTCTTGTTAACAAACTATAGTTTGTAAGTAATTTTTCCAACAATTGTTTACAGACAGATTATTTCACTTATAATTAATTGTATCACAATTCCAGTGGGTCAGAAGTTGACTGTGCCTTTAAACAGCTTGGAAAATTCCAGAAAATGATGTCATGGCTTTAGAAGCATCTGATAGGCTAATTGACGTCATTTGAGTCAATTGGAGGTGTACCTGTGGATGTATTTCAAGGCCTACCTTTAAACTCAGTGCCTCTTTGCTTGACATCATGGGAAAATCAAAAGAAATCAGCCAAGACCTAAGAAAAGTATCTATATCCACAGTAAAACGAGTCCTATATCGACATAACCTGAAAGGCCGCTCAGCAAGGAAGAAGCCACTGCTCCAAAACCACCATAAAAAAGCCAGAGTACGGTTTGCAACTGCACATGGGGACAAAGATCGTACTTTTTGGAGATATGTCCTCTGGTCTGATGAAACAAAAATAGAACTGTTTGGCCATAATGACCATCGTTATGTTTGGAGGAAAAAGGGGAACGCTTGCAAGCCGAAGAACACCATCCCATACATGAAGCACGGGGGTGGCAGCATCATGCTGTGGGGGTGCTTTGCTGCAGGAGGGACTGGTGCTTGTGGAAGGCTACACGAAACATTTGACCCAAGTTAAACAATTTAAAGGCAATGCTACCAAATACTAATTGAGTGTATGTAAACTTCTGACCCACTGGG